TGCATGGATGTAGTTGAGAGGTTTACACACTGCATGCAATGAAATACTGAGGTGCTGTCGTGGTTGAGGTAAGCTGTTTAACACAGCAGTTCAGAGGATTCCTGTGGGTCCCTGACCCCTTGCTGAAGGTTAACCTAAAATGTTTCTATATGCTTTACAATTATATTCTATTCACTTCCCATTGCCCCATTTAAGTCAAGGAAATTACCTGTAGGATTGAAACAGTGATAAAGGCAGAATTTGTACAAAAGAAGCTTGTAGTTTGGTGTAGGATCCTGGTTCTGTGAAGAAATTAACTTAAGTTTCAAGGAAAATGCTATGAATCTTTTCTGGTTGCTGTTTTAAGATGGTTCTATAGATAGATATTTTTACTTCCCAAAAAGGAAATAATGGAGAATATTAATATATCACAGACAAACATTTAAGGGTCAGGTTAAAATAAATAAAAATAATAATGATGGCAAACTATCTACACTATTTTAATACAAACAAAATATATTTGCGATACATTTTTTATACCAGTATTGGATAAATAATATTTAAGAATCACAAGGTCTGATTTTTTCAGTTGCTTTACCAAGTAATGCTACTTAGGTTTTGTTGTTCTTTAAACAACTAGAAAGAAGGTTTTTGGTTTTGTCCTTTTGGAGAAGGAATGAAATGTGTTTGTGGTCATATTCTGGGGTCACCCACTAGCAATAAATAATGTGTTACTGGGTCTGTGACAGCTGTAAATGGAAAAATCTAGATGTGTCATAGTCTCTACAGAAAACTGAGGGAGCAGCAGATATCATAAGCTTAAATGAATGCATATAAAGATAAAATTTTATGTCTGATATGAAAGAGTACCCTTGAGAGCAAATTTCAGAAGGTCTAAACCATCAGATCCAGGAACAGAAAAAATGGAGGCAGTCTGTAGAACTCTCAATCTTGAGAGATATTTTTTTCATCTTAATTGCCAGTATGCAGGCAATCAAACCTCAGGATGCCTTTCTTGGTGGCAGGAATAAGACCTGCCTCCTGCCAACCTGCAGTGGGGAGGTTTTAGGGGCAGAAATTTCTGCATTCATACAAATACTTCTCACAGATAGAAGACAGATCAAGGAGACATTATGCAGTTTTACTTCAGTGGTGCTTCATGGTCCCACAACAAACTATCTGAGCTGGCACAATCAGCCCTACCTATGGGCTGAAGGTTCAGCATCGTCATAACCCAGGCAACGAGACAAGAGAGCCAGTCGCTGGTCTAGGTGAAGACCCACCACACTTCGACACTTTCCTTTGGTTTCTAGAGTTGTTCTGAAGGCAGATCCACTCACCAGCCCATTTAATCCTGAGACCACACAAGTGGAAAAGCTGATGCAAAGAAAGTGACAGGATGAAAAGCAAATGGGGGAAGCAATGTCACCAAACACTTTTTACCTCTGTGGATAAAATGCTTGTTTTAATCTTTTAATCTATCTTCCTTACTGCTATAATATGCCTACAAACCTATCTCACAAATGTCCCTCTCTCTAATGCAGTAGATGAGTAGAAAGGTGCCTGCTGAAGTGGTCATTTCTCAGTGGAATCTGAAGGTAAGGTTAAAAAAAATGTTGAGTTTGTCCATTGTTCTTTTACCACAGTGATTTTTCTTTTTTTCTTTAGCATTTTAGTCCTATATGTTCAAAACCTAAATGTGGTGGTGTTTCTTTCTTTCATAGTCTCTTATATGTGCTCAAGAAGTTACAAGGAGCAGGTCTTTATCTTAATTAGTTTATTTTAGTAAAATACAATAGCATTGGTTTAAGATGCATTTTATATACAGAAGACTTTCTATTAAATAGTCAACAGTAAATGGATGGAATCAACATTTTGTCACCATTCTTATTTGTATTGCACAAATAGCCTTTTATTTTGTTGCCATATGGAAATTTTGGAATACTTTTTTCTTTTTGTATATTGTATGTGACAAGTTTAGTATATTTACTTAAATGCTGTTTTGTAACACCAGGTGCAATTTTCTAATGGTAGGATTACTGAAAGGGACAGAAAAGTAATAGGCGTTTCTTTTCTGTTTCTCTACTTGTGTTTCACACTTGACAGCACTCCATGCATAGTTCATTCAGATTTTCCTCTGGGTAGCAAATCAATAAGCCACTTTCCTTTGCTGTTTGAGTCTTTTGCTCAACAACAGAGGAAAAGAAAAATATTTCAAAGCATATAAGATCACAAATATTGACAGGAAGACAGACTGAAAGGCAAATGGACTATCAAAAACTAGAAGTCTGTAGAAGATACACACTAGGCATGTGCTGAGTATGGGACAGGGGCAGTGATGGTACCTGCCCATTACCCTACCTTCTCCTGTAGGTATATTTAGTAGATTAATATAGGTTGGAAAGATTAATCCAAATCCTGTATTTGATAATAAAACTAGTTAGATATGGAATGTTTTTAAATATTGAGTCCAACCTGTTCCCTTCACTTTCTCACACATCTTCGTTTTGGCAATACACTGTGTTTGTCACGTTACACACTTTGCCAATGCAATTGCAGGTAAATGTATACAATCGTAAAAGAGAAACTACCTTCATGTTCTTTGTTCTACAGTGCCTACTAACATCTAGTATGACAAAGTCATGATGTAGATTTCAGTTTTTGACACCACTGCATTAAATGTAAGTTGATTAGGGTAATAAACATAGTAACTTCCTAGTGTCCAAAAAAAAAAGGCTTTACAACTAATCTATTTTACCTGTTTGTCCTAAAACGATCACCTATAAACATGTTTTTCTGATGTTTTCTTAAAAGCCACGTAGGTTATGGGTCCACTATCACTTCAGGCACTCTATTTTAATGCTTCACTCTACTTCCAGCCAGGATTTTTTCCACTCAGGAAGGTGAATATTACTTGTGGGACTTCCTTTACCAACACTGACCCTCACTCTCAGTCTTTGTGTGTGGAGCACAGGCAGCTTCGCACTGTTGCTGCAAAGTGTTCACGGCTGGCACTCTGGGAGGAGAGTGAAGGTGGCGGGATGCAGTGATCTCTGGATGAGCATAGGGCCTGTTGCAACCTGTTCTGAAACAAGCAATTTCATATGCTCTCCCCTGTCCTTACCTCTTATAAAACACTGTCTTCTCTAATAAAGTGAATGAGTGAGTGTCACTATTTTGATTTTTCTCTTCTAGCGGGAAAAAGGCTCCTGTTTCCACGGAGGCTTCCCAGCCGTGCCGGCGGGGGCGGGGGGGCGTTTCTGTGCCTCCCCT